TTAAAGTGTGTTGTGATTAGGTCACGGAGTGGGCCCCGCTGTTAAGAATGGAAACTAACCAACACGGGTTGGTTCCACCAAGATACTGAGATCGGCCGAAACCGGTTTGGCTCAGTGGATAGAGCATCGGCCTGCGGACTGAAAGGTCCCAGGTTCAATTCCAGTCAAGGGCATGTGCCTTGGTAGCGGGCACATCCCTCTTGGGGGGTGGGGGGGAGGTGTAAGAGGCAGCTGATTGATGATTCTCCCTCATCGATGTTTCTGGCTCTCTGTCCCTCTCTCTTCCTCTCTGTAAAAATGAAGAGAGAGGGGCCATAGCAGCTGTCTGAAGTGGCGCGCTGGGAGGGAGGGCTGTGTGCGGATCGGTCACCGGGCTGGTGCCGCCAGGTTCGCTGCACAGCCGGCGCAGCGGGGGTTTCTGGAGCATGGTCCCTGCACGGCATTAGTGACTCTTCACTTTCCCAAACTCCTTTGTTCCCCTTCTTTTAAAATTTCTCTGTACTACTCCAAAAGTCTTAGTGCAGTTTTAACCTTTTTTAATCTCTAAAGTATAACATGCTATTGAAAGACTAGTTATTACGCTTTTTAAGTGTTGATTTTTAAAAATTGAATCCAACTATCCAGTGTCTTGTGCTACCTAGCACTCTAGTCTTTTTTCAAAGCAACTCCGCATCTCCTCGATCTAGGCCCATCGTGAATCACACATTCTCTCTGGATAGTTAACCCAGTTGTCAAACTTCTATGGCGAGAAACAAATTTTGTTTCTTATTTATGGGGGAAGCAATTTTTGTTTTTATTGCCATCGTAGACTAGAGTTCAGACCAGAGAACAGGTGCAGTTTTTTTTGTATATATTTGTTATTTAGTCAGAGGGACTGAAACAAAGCCAAATTTAAAAATCATTACAGTATTCAGAATTCACAAAACCGGTAAGGAATATAAAAGAAATGTAAGTAATTGAACTTTCAACTGCACTGAGACTTCAGAGACACCCTGTCTGTCTTAAACACCAACAAGAGTGAGGAAAACATCACTTTATCTTTTGCCCCTTTTTTGCCCCAAACTTCACACCTTCCCGGTTCTCCCTGGTGGGACCAGGGCCCTCCCTCATCTGCTTTGCAGGCCCAACATGACCTTGAACTAGCACCTCTGCCCCTCTGCTGGCACCTGCCTGCAGGTGGGTGTGTGCTGCTCCACCAGGATGGTGGGGCTGGTGGGGCTGGTGGGGGGGGGGGTGGAGTAGTGGTGCCACCTCCGCCACTGCCGCCGTTGCCTGGCAACAGATGCTTGCATTGCCAGCAGCTCCTGGCTGCACTTAGTGCTCTACCTACACCTCCACGCCCCTGCTCTAGGTGAACCAGCTAGAATTCTGAATGCTGATCCCATGGTTGGAAACACAAATGAGGATCAGTTTCCCAGATAAAGAAAGGACTAGGAAAAGATGGACTTTGCATTTCTTTTAAGAAATGCTATATACATTGTAGAGTATTTAGCAGTCTGTATTTTGGGACACGCTGTAGGTCGTATAGTGCAGACCTGTACTATTAGGTCTGCTCTTGCAATCATATAAAATTCAGCATATACACAGTTACGTTTAACCCTAATTCCTAATTTTTAACAAGTGGAAACATTTTGCTATACTTTTAGGGAAACCAAATATCAGGCTGCCTTAAACGTGTGCTTCTGGGTTCTAACTTAATTCTCCCTTTTAGAGTTTTCATGGGACTTGTTTTGTCCTCTTCTCTTCCCACTAACAATTCATAGAAATCTTGACATTTAAAAAACTGACAGCCCTAACTGGCTTGGCGGCCTGCGAACTGAAGGGTCCCGAGTTCGATTCTGATCAAAGGCATGTATGTATCTTGGTTGTGGGCACATCCCCAGTAGGAGGTGTGCAGGAAGCAGCTGATCGATGTTTCTCTCTCATCAATGTTTCTAACTCTGTATCTCTCTCCCTTCCTCTCTGTAAAAAATCAATAAAATATATCTTAAAAAAAAAAAAAAACTGACAAGTCTTTATAAACATTCCACTACACTATGCCATTTTTATATACCTTCTCTCACCTTCTGCCAAAATCCAGGTTAGATTAGGGACTGAGACCATGGCCAAAGCAAATGGGGTAGAAAGGATAGGATAGATACGCAGGACACAGATCAACAAGATCCTACTTGGGGGAGGGCTTGTATGGGGAGAGGGGGGCAATGGCATATGTACAAAGATAATAATTTAATTTAGAAAATTAAACACACACACACACACACACACAAAAAAAAAAAAAAACACCAAGATCCTACTTGGGTTGCCAAGAAGGAAAAGCAGTCAGGACTGACTTCCAGGTTCTGGTTGGACAGCCAGGGTGTGAGCTGGGCTGGAGAGCTGATATGGACATGGAGCTGTGTGTACCCCCTGTAGTCAGCCCCGCAGGGAGGTGGGGGGAGAGAAAAGGGGGGGTGGCTGTTGTGGGTCCAAGGTGCCTCCACCTGGCAGAGGAGTGAAGAATCGCCAGCCGGAGGGCAGGAGGGAAATCAAAAAGACCAGCAGGAGCTTCTCAAGCACAAACAGCCAGCCCCACCGAGAGGCCAAAGGAAGCCAAGACCCAAGTTCACGAGGACACTGAGATTAGCACGGCCCCTGCACAGGGATGACTCGAAAATTCATGAAGCGTTCCATGTTTTAGACAACACACACAAAAACCAGAGCTCACGGGCGATGGCCAGCCCCTGGGACACCGCGGGTGACCGTGGAGGGAGTATCTCCAGTGCAGGGGGTGGGTGCCAGAGGCTGCGGTCAGGACAGGTGGGGCGGGACACAGGAGTCACCTTCCCTGTAACTCTTGGCAGTGGTGGGCAGCAGGAAAGCTGGTGGAACGAACCGGCCACTTGCCATGAAGGAGGCGCTGCTGGTTTTAAATGGGACAGGGTTGAAGGTATTTGTGCACTTGGAGGGAACAAGCCAATAGGAAAGAGTTTGAGGAAAGAGGGGCGATCAGAGGAGAGGAGCCACACTGACAGGGTGAAGACTGCCATGCCCCTGGGCGCAGGGGCAGCCTGGCAGGGAACCCCCCCAACCCCCACCGTCCCCACCCCAGGGGGAGGGCATGGAAAAGAATCCTTGTGCAGTCCTCACTGGTTTGGCTCAGTGGATAGAGCATTGGCCTGCAGACTCAAGGGTCCCAGGTTCGATTCCGGTCAAGGCATGTACCTTGGTTGCAGGCACATACATCCCCAGTGGGGAGGGTGCAGGAGGCAGCTGGTCGATGTTTCTAACTCTATATCCCTCTCCTTTCCTCTCTGTAAAAAAAAAAAAAAAATCAAAAATATATATTTTTTGAAAGAATTCTTATGCAGTGCCCGGGCCCTGGAGCCTGGAGCCCCTCAGCTTGCAACCGCCATGCCCAGGGCAGTGGTCTCCGCAGCACCAGGCACCGCCTTTGACCTCCCCCCCCCCCAGTGCAAGGCTCCTGGAGCGGCTGGCGCCCCTGGAGCTGCTGTGGCAGGAATTGGGGGGCCTAGCTCACCCTCACAGTCCAGGAGGACACACCTGCCTCCTGCCCTCCTCTGATCTTTGACTACAAGGCCAAGTTCGAGGCCAGCGTGCCCTCTAGAAAAAAAGAGTATAGAGTCGTGGAGAGGAAAGCCATGGCGAGCCGGGGGCTGGGCGTCAGGACGGGAGCCCGAGGGGCGGCGTGGGTGCTTGGAACCGTCTAGAAAGTGCGGGGAACAGGGGCGAGCGCCCGGGGAGCCGCTCGCAGGCCCTCCTCCTGATGGAATATGCATGATCCCGCCGCCCCCGCCCGCCTATGAGCGGGAGGAGGCAGCTGATGCACCTGCAGGAGCGCTCGCTCGTCCACTCACTCGCCTAGGCTCGGGGTGCGAGACAGCCAGCCACCTGGCAGCGGTCGGGACCCCGCGAGGGTGAGCCTCCCACGGCCGGGCCCTGAGAGGTCAGCTCCCGCCCCTGCAGCTCCGTGAGCGCCGGCCTCCCTCCCTCACCCCGGGCCGGCCACCTGCCGCCCCCCCCCTCCCGCGGGCCGGCCTCCCTCCCCCCGCGGACCGGGACCCGGGGGGAAACCCGGGTCTCCTGCTGCTGGGGGGTTGGTACCCACAGTCGCCCTGCTGGGACCCGCACGCACACCTCCGTCCCTCCCGCCGCGCTCGGCACCAGCCCGCGGGCGCACCGGCTGAGCCCGCAGCCTCGGACCCCGGCCGGCCGGGCGCTTCCCGCTGGGCAGCCCCGCAACTTGCGGGGAGTGGGGCCAGGGAACTAGGGCGGGTGGAGGGCGCAGCCCCACCACCACCACCACCTTCCTTCGCTCCCTGCACGCTGTCCCCCCAACAGATCGCCCTAGACCGTTATCTCTAACCCGTTAGCCGCCGCGTGTCCGAACCGAAACCATCCATCCCCGCAGGCGCTCCGCTCCGCGCGTCTTCCGCGCGTCCTTCCCGGTTAGGAATTTGCGGGGGGCATCGGGTGGGAGAAGACCGTCCGTTCGGATCCGGAGACCCCGGGAGACCAGCCCGGGCATCTCTTCCAGCCGCCGGGGAGAGAGGCCGCCGCGGGACCCGCGCGCCGCTGCTGCCGCTCCCCACCGCTCTCTGTGCAAACTCCTGACCCAGCCGCGCCCGGCGCCCCCGCGAGCGCGCAGGCATGGGCTGCCTGGGCAACAGCAAGACCACCGAGGACCAGGGCGTGGATGAGAAGGAGAGGCGCGAGGCCAACAAGAAGATCGAGAAGCAGCTGCAGAAGGAGCGCCTGGCGTACAAAGCGACGCACCGCCTGCTGCTCCTGGGTAAGGCGCGGCGGCTCCGGCTGTGGCTGCGGCTGCGGCTCCGGCTGCCGGGCCCGGAGCGCACAGCCCGCCCTCCGGCCGGCCCAGCACCGGCCTGAGCTTGGCAATGCCGGCCTTGGGACAAGATCGCCGCACAATGTGGGTTGGTGTGAACGGCGGCCAGAGCATCTGGCTGCAGGTCACAGCATCCTTTCTGTTTGTTTGTTTGCAGGGGCTGGTGAGTCTGGGAAAAGCACGATCGTCAAGCAGATGCGGATCCTGCACGTCAATGGATTTAACCCCGAGTAAGCAATGATCGGTTTCGATTTTGCTTAGAAACTGGGTGCAAACTGTCACTCCTTTCCTAGCCTCCCCTAAAGTGCTGTCTCTAGGCGTTAATCACTGAATGCACCTTTTAGGGAGAAAAATATAGGAATGTATTGTTGAATTTGGTATAGTTAGGTAAACCCTTTTTCTAGATTAAAAAAAAAATACCTTGCTTCACAAAATATGATTTATTAGGCATTCTTGAGGTATTGATCTGTATTCTCGGTACTGCTCCGAACACACTTAACCAGCATGTCAAAGTGTACTTTTCTCTATATCAATTGTCTGCATCCATTTCAATTCATACCTATCAGCACATGGATAGGTTCAAATCAAATATATTTGCAAGTATAGCTGTACAGTTTTTATAGGCAGTGTGCATGACAGGGTTGGCGTGTTTGGTGCCACAAGTTTGGTTGTGTAAAGCTATAGGTTGCAATGTGTGCATTCAAGCTTGTTTGGAGTACAAACTAGAGAAGGAGCATGTTTTCCCTCCCCAGACAGAAACTTTGCAGATAAGAACTGTCGCTCTTGGGGTTGGTGTGGACCGCTAGGAACACCAGTCTAGCCAGGGGCTGCAGCTGGAAATTTAAAACTTCCACCCAATTCACTCGAATCAGTGCTGATGATAAAAGAAGTTAATAACAATTCTCTTGTAACGCAGGGAGAAGAAGCAGAAAATCCTGGACATCCGGAAAAACGTTAAAGATGCTATTGTGGTAAGGACTTCTACTTAATGGTTGTTTGCTAGAAAAGTGAAGTACTCTGCTCTCTAAGTAGACAGAAATCATTCATTCGCTTATCATACATGGAGCCTGTGTTGTAGTCACCCACAAATATATTGTTCCTTATTCCGTTTTAGACAATCATCTCAGCGATGAGTACCATAATACCTCCAGTTCCACTGGCCAACCCAGAAAATCAATTTCGATCAGACTACATCAAGAGTATAGCCCCTATCACCGACTTCGAATATTCCCAGGTATGTGAATCATTCCTGAAATAATTCAACTGGTGCAAGATGGAACCCTTTTATTTTCTTTTTCTTTTCTTTTTTTACCTCACCTGAAGATATGTTTACTGAATTTTAGAAAGAAACAGAGACAAGGAGACAGGGGGGGAGAGAGAGAAAAAAAAAAAAAAAACATTGATGTGAGAGGGAAACATTAGTTGGTTACCTCCCTTATGAGCCCCAATGGGGGATGAAGCCCTCAACCTCGGTATGTGCCATGATTGGGAATCAAACCCACAGCCTTTTGGGGTACAGGATAAGGCTCCAACCAACGGAGCCGCATCGGCCAGGGCAGAGCCATTTTTAATGTGGTGGCTTACTGAGAATCAACATTAATATTAGTTCATGGTTAACTTCAAAAATCTAGCTCTGCTTAAATGAAATGTTTCCTCTGTATCAAAATGTTAACATTGGTTAAAAATATGAAAAACAGTAGGATTATGAAAAAATGCTTTTATGAACGAATTGGTGAGATTGATAATGAGGAAGACAGCATACCTTTAAGAAAAAATCTAGCCGGGACCGGTTTGGCTCAGTGGATAGAGCGTCGGCCTGCGGACTGAAGGGTCCCGGGTTCGATTCCGGTCAGGGGCATGTGCCTTGGTTGCGGGCACATCCCCAGTGGGGGGTGTGCAAGAGGCAGCTGATCGATGATTCTCTCTCATCGATGTTTCTAACTCTTTATCCCTCTCTCTTCCTCTCTGTGAAAAATCAATAAAATATATATATATATTTTTTTTTAAATCTAAAGAACTTTTTCCTATCTGAATTTCTAAATTAACCATGGTTTCCAAGAGGATAAGTAAGTAGAAATTCCCCAAGTAGAGAGATGTACTCTCTGGGATGTGATTGCATCTGAGGGAAAATTAGAACAGAATTCAGTTTACTTTTAAGGCAAGTGTCCTTCAAGTCAGATAAGAAGAGAATTCATGCTGTAAATAATAACGTGGATTACTTCTGAACATTTACTACATGATAGGAAAATGTAGTTCATTTTACATCTGCAGATTGAGGGCTGCTTTCCTAATCACTTGGATAGTAATATTGCTTTAAAAAGGATGATGTGAATATTAGTTTTCTCTTGTTTGGGAATAAACTTTTCTTTATAATACTGTTTGGCAATTAAATCAAGCATGTTTCATAGAAAACTATTTGTTACATTTCTCAGAAAATCATTTTTGCTACTGTTGTGCTAAAAAAAAAAAAAAAAGTATATGTTTGTACTGTGTGTGTATCAATAGCAGTATTTCCAAGATTTTACTGCCTGGCACGGCGGTCTTGAGACACTTTTCATCCTCAGGATCCTCTCTTCCCGGGGAAGCTGGTGCAGAAACCAGCATGTCCAATAGACAGGTCCCGCCCTGCTTTACTGAAGTTTGGGCAGCGGGCAGCTTACACCTGCTCAGCACCACCCTTCTCTTCAGCACCACAGGGATGTCCCGTAGGCTCTGTATCAGGATGGCAAATAAGAATTACTTTTTTTTTTTTTTTAGCTTTTATTTGCATCCTATACTGGGATTGTTGTTTCTGGTAAGCATTCCATAGCCAGCGAGATCTCTAGAATTTTTAGAAAGGATTCAGGGGTAGCAGAATGACTGGGGAAAGAGATAAGGGACCTGGCACAGCAGAGCCCACTGTTTTTTACTGAACTATGTCTTTAATTGATTGGTGTTCGGAGGGGGAATAAAGGGGATGATGCGGGGGGAAGGGAGAGGAAGCACCAGAGCGGTGCTTCAGCAGCAGAGCTCCGGGCATCCTCCCAGCACCGTGGCCTTTTATATAACGCGGCAGTCACGTCCCCCAAACCGCAGGGTCCCGGCTGAAACCAGGAGGGGCACGCCCACTCAGCTTCGGGTTTACACGTCTATAAACACACATTTAAGTTCTCAATTTTGCCCTGTCGTGTTCACCTAAAAATAGTCCTAAAACATCTTATACATGGCTCTGATGTAGGGAAACGGTGATTCTTGACGTATAATGAGAAATTAGAACTAAGATGTATTCATCAGTCTCACAGTTTCTTTCTCCTTCATGACAAACTCACACATGATAAACATATTCCATATTTAATCTGAAGCTCAGAAACAGGAACGCTCAAGAAGATTCCTATGGAATCCAAAGCACCTAATTTGTGAACATGTTGATGAAGTTAAATCATATTATTAGTTTAAATAAATAAACTTGAGAAACCATTTCCTTTGCACCCATGTATTTTCATATAGATATGTTAAGGCTACTTAAAAGTGGTTATCAGAATCAAAATTAATAAAAGAGAATTGGAAACCTGAAGATGCAAGTCTATAATAATAAAAGCATAATATGCTAATTAGGCCAGACAGCCAACGGCCTTCCAGGCAAAGACAGGGCTGCAAGGGCCAAGCCCCTTGCACAAATTTCATGCATCAGGACTCTAGTGTAATTATAATGGTCTTTCAGAGGTAATTTTTTTTAATTATAGTTTTTTTAAGCCTAACATTCTGTTGTCATCTGTGTCTCTGTTCTTTTCAAGTGAGATTATGTTTATAAAAAAGCCTATACTTATATAAATAAGGAAATTAATATCTAAATGTATAACTTTGCTTCTGGAATACTATTTTTATTGGATATGCACACATTTTCAATAACGTTTATTACCTGATGCTCTGAAATATTTATTTCACTTATATTATTAAATAGTTCTTGGATTGACATTTTGATGATCCTAAGACAAATCTCTGACATATGTTCTTAATACTTGCTACATTTAGAGAAAATTAACTTTTGCTTAAAAATGTATACTGTAAAAATCATAACAGCAGAGCTAAACCAAGAATTCTTTATAGTAAACATAACACTAATTTACTAAATCTAGTACTTTTTTTAGATCAAATCCTTAAAAGTCTTTTGATGTCACATTTCTCTTCTGTTCTTTTGCTCTCCATTTGAATTTCAGTTTAATTATATGAAATTTTAATTGTAACAGAAAGAAGGCCAGCATAGTGAGTGCCTATCCAGCTAAGGGTTGCTGGGGAAGGTTCCAGAAAGCGCCAGGGGCCCGACTTCACAGACCTCTTAGGCCAGGTCTGTGCTGCTCTGAGAAGCCTTTAGGTGAAATCCAGATGATCATATATGGACTCTGTTTATCCCTTTAGGTGGTAATCCAGATGAAAGTTAGTGGAGCAGCTTCGATGGGGTGGTATCATGAATGAGTTATTTGCCTCTTTACAGTTCTTCTCATGTGCATCCAGATCATCTTGGCTCTGAACTGGGCTCTCCCCTGAACACCCTTCCCTAGTTGGCACCATGTCTTTCCATCCGGCTCATCTACCCTTGAAAACAGTCTCAGGTGATGATCGTGGCAGTAATCCAGCCCAGAATCAAGTAGTACATGTCATTTCTATCTCTCCTTTACTCTAACAATACCTCAGCTGTGGCGAGCTAGCATGGCCATGGCATACTCAGCCCCACGTCAGGCGCCTTATGTGCCGCGCCAGCTCAGCCAGCTTCCGTGACCCTGAGAGGGGGCGGTGAAGGATTGAGAAAAGGCAGACAAGAGAAGAAATCTCAGTCTGAGTGGGATGCTGTCCTCTCTGATGGAGAGCCTTTGTGATGGAGAGCTAATGACAGTGCCACTGACTACAAGCTATGTCTTTATTTTATAGCCAGATTCCACGAGGCAAAGTAAGGGTGTGGTCAATATGTTTACAACATTCTCCCGAATTTCAAGTTTACTCAATTACATGCATCTGAACTCTATCAAGCCCACATCACTCAGGCAAGTGGGGCCATGTGTTCAGACCATAGGTTCAAGCTTACAGCTACAGCTGTTGGCTATAATTGTGCTGGGAGGGCCATGAGAGAACTGTGTCCTCTCATTAGTCTGAGGCTTGAACGAGTCCAAACACTGTAGCCACTCTCCACACTCAGCCTTTCTTTATTTTATCTTTTCATGATATTGACCAAACATTTATTTTGTGGGATGTGCTTACTGTGGTTCATCGATGCATCGTGACTAGATTTGGTTAGTGCTTTGGCATCAAAAACACAGAAATGGCCTGTGTCCTTCCTGGGGAATTGGGGGCATTAACTCTGATCACTTAGTGAGGTGCTGCCTGCCACGTTTCTCTTCTCCTTTCCCCTTTGTAATTCATAAGCGCATTTTAGGAATGTCCATTGAGACTGTATTTACTTTTGAGACTGTATTTTTTATCGAAATATTTACACTTTAGTTTTAGCCCACTAATAAATTATATCCATAATAAATATTTAAGGTGGAAAACTTTTGTCAATTCTTGTGACAATTTCTAAATACTGTAGTGAAAACTAAATAGAGGGTGGACCATGATGCTGCTTTTCACGTAATAAAAAGAGCATCATTGGAGGATTAGCCAGAGCAGCAACCTCTCGCTGAGAAGTCTGGGAAAACACTCTTCCCTAAAGTGTTTTTTTTCTTATAGAAAATACTAGAGGCCGGTGCACAGGATTTGTACACTGGTGGGGAAGGGGGTGACCTTTGGGATCGGCCTGCTGCAGGAGCAGCCGCTCATCCAGGTCAGCTGTGTGGCGCTCCCACCATGGGAGTGCACTGACCACCAGGGGGCAGCTCCTGCGTTGAGCGTCTGCCCCCTGTTGGTCAGTGTGCATCATAGCTACTGGTCCACCAGTCATTCTGGTCATTCTGCCATTCAGTTGCTAGGCTTTTATTATATAGGATATTTGAATGGTCACAAAGTTAGGCAACATATTTTTTTAAGTTTCTTGGATAAGCTGTCATAAAACTTCAAATCTATTGAAAGTATGTTGTCAAGGTTTTTGTTGTCATGGTTCACCTCAAATTTGGATGTACCAGAAGTTTATTGCTTGGTTTACCAAAGTAGTTCACTTATAAGAACACGGAGCAGTTTTCAGAAGAATGTAACATCAAAAATACCTTAGTATAGGGCATTTTGTCCTTATCATTGCTATTTTTACATGACTCCGAGAGAAAACAT